AGGGCATGTGGATGGCTCAGTCGGTTAAGCATCTGACTTCAGCTCAGGTCTTGATCTTGCAGTTCATGAGTTCAAGCCCTGCATCGGACTATGTGCTGACTGCATAGAGCCTGCTTGGGATTCTCTCTCCCTCTCTCTCTCTCTCTGCCCTTCCCCCACTCACACTTCCTCTCTCTCAAAATAAATAAACTTAAAAAAAAAAAATTTAAATACTTTTCAGAATCGATAAATGTTTTTAAAGTTTGTATTTTGAAGAAATAAAACTTCTATTTTAAAAGTTAATTTGAAAATTGCATATTGACTTTAATTAGAATTTGCTCTATGTGGGGATCAGATAAATAGCCTGTTTTCTACCCAGTAACAGTGTGATTTAGCTAGCTTGTTGATACCTTTAGTGTTAGCTCCCTTGAGAATGTCATTTCTTCCAGTAAGACTTCCTGAGGCACCAGGCAGAGGTGGCTCCTGTGTGCATTCAGGATGCACAGTCCTGCTTCCCTCTGTCATGGGCAGTGCCCACCAATCCCTGCACTGATTACTGTTGGCTCTCCCCTCTGGGCTCCCCACTAGGTCGTAAACTTTATGACAGAACTATTTTCTGCTAGTTACCTGTTGTGTCCTTCATACCTGGCAGAATAACTTACTGAATTAGATGCTCAATGATACTGTGTTGAAGAAACAAATTAGTGAGTAACTACTACTTGTTTTTGCCTCCAGGACTGCCTTAGATTATTTTCCAAAGAAGAAAAGCTCACAGACAACAACAGGTTTTACTGCAGTCATTGCAGAACTCGACGGGACTCTCTAAAAAAGATAGAGATCTGGAAGTTGCCACCTGTGCTTTTAGTGCATCTGAAACGGTAAAAAACATATTTTTCTGCAGTTTAGATGAAGGAAGTCTTAAGTGGTACTTCATTCTAAGTCATTTTATTGCATTGCCTGCTAAGGATGTATTACAAAGGAAGATTATCTGGTTAGGGAAACAAGGCAGAAATGAGGAGACTCCAGTTCCTTACTTTAGTGTTTGCAAGAACAGCAAAATGACAACACGGTGCTTTCAGGTCATTTATTGCATTTCAAATATAAAATATTACATCATAAAAAATCCAAGTGAAAATGTATAAAATCACACAGCATAACTCTAATACAAATGATAAGTCAATAAAATTTATTGTAAACTAAGAAAAGATTTAATCCTGTGCTGAAAATGAGAATGCAGTTTTTTTTTTTTTTTCAACGTTTTTATTTATTTTTGGGACAGAGAGAGACATAGCATGAACGGGGAAGGGGCAGAGAGAGGGGGAGACACAGAATCGGAAACAGGCTCCAGGCTCTGAGCCATCAGCCCAGAGCCTGACCCGGGGCTCGAACTCACGGAGTGCGAGATCGTGACCTGGCTGAAGTCGGACGCTTAACCGACTGCGCCACCCAGGCGCCCCTGAGAATGCAGTTTTAAAGAGAAGATGTTAAGGATGCCATTGCTGGGTGCAGATATTTTTGTCCACATTTTTCTAGCCTGTGAAAAAGGTCTGGCCCTATAATAGATGGGATAATAGCAAGAGAGTTGTAAAATCTGTCCCAGATGTTGTCTTTTGATTCTTTTATCTTTATGGAATCCATTCATGGAGTGATAACTATGAATCATTATTTTCAAAAACTTTTTAAAAGGAGGTTTCATCTTTTTATTGAGAGCTGTAATTTTTGTCTCAAACGAAGCATTTCTATTTTAATTGTTTCATTTTGTATTATTGGAAGTTCTTAGGCAATTACTTTTGTTAGTTTCTATATTGACGTGTTCAGATTCCTCACATAAATTTTCTACCAGAAGCTTGTTCCATCAGTTTTTCTCTTCTTGAGGATTGTGGAGGTACAGATAAACATTCTATAAATGATTACACATATGTTAAGATTTCTAGTGCTGTGTATTAATTCTTTGGAGAATACAGGTATCTAAAAATATAAATGGTTCAGAATTCAGTTTTTGAAAACTAATTCTGAAATAATCTTATCGCACCAACCAAAGTACCAGTATTTTGGTGTTTAAAGGAGTAGAGTATGTCAGGATAATGGAATGCCATTACAATTCTCCCCTGCTATCCAAAAGTAGAGTGTTCCTGTGAAACCTTTCATAAGCCAAAATGGTGTAAAGCAAAGCAGTTATCATTAATTTATATAGAAAATCTTTCAGTATTCCCAGACCCCCAAAATAACCTTCTCTTAGACTTTTCTAATACCTTAGGACACATCTTGCAAAACAGATGCACAAAACAGATCAAGATAAAACACAGGTACGGGCAGACAATTCAAAGCTGTGGCAGCTTGACACTGAGTATTCTGGGAAGGAACATGGTGATGCCACTTTACCTACTCAGCAGGGTGCCTGCTGCCTCCAGCAGCCTACTGCAAACAAACGCTGCCCGGTGCTGCTTTCCCCTTTTCACCTTTTTTCTTAAAAGCAGAAACCTTCTTTGGATTTCTTTCAGGTAGCTAAAACAGGTACTCATGGAAGTCTTGTAAAAATGAAGTGGTGTAACACCAGCTTTTGAAAAGCAGGGGATACCTGTGTAGTCTGTGTGCTTATGATTTCCAGCTTCAGTTTCCCCAAAAGTACAGTCTTAACAGCTAGAGCAGCTCTCCTTAGTCTTTCCTCTGTACTCGTATGGTAGTTAGCATTATAAACCTGGGTCTTCATAACTTTTTACCTTTGCAGAAGACTCATTGAACAGTTGTCGCTGGCCTAGGGGTCAAGGGACCCAGGTGTGGCTCTGTCTCCACCACCTTAGCTGTTTGACTGAGGGCAGGTCATTTCATATCTGCTCATACCTTCGTTTTCTCATTTGTAAAGTGGAAATGAAGCCAAATGTCTTTCCAGGTCCCTCCACCATTGAAATTCTGAGTGTGTTTGAAATGGATTTTCTGGTCTCACTATAAATCTAGAACATTAATGAATGAATTCAAGTCTTTCCAGTGTTTTTGGTCTCTCAGTTTAATTGCTATCCTGTTTCACTCTACAGTTTTTCCTACGATGGCAGGTGGAAGCAGAAACTACAGACCTCTGTGGATTTCCCATTAGAGAATCTTGACTTGTCACAGTATGTTATTGGTCCAAAGAACAATTTGAAGAAATATAATTTGTTTTCTGTTTCAGTAAGTATCTTGTTGGAACTAAATCCTTTCTCTTTTTCTAAGCAAACTATAAAAATAAGAGTTTCATGTGGTTCCTTAACCTCCTAGGAAAATAACATAAAGCTTTGAAGTATTTAAAATAGGACAATAATTTCAGTTTGAACTGATTTTCTATCTTTTTGGCACAGAATCACTATGGTGGGCTGGATGGAGGCCACTACACTGCCTATTGTAAAAATGCAGCAAGACAGCGGTGGTTTAAATTTGATGATCATGAAGTTTCTGATATCTCCGTTTCTTCTGTGAAGTCTTCGGCAGCTTATATCCTCTTTTATACTTCATTGGGACCACGAGCAACTGATGTAGCCACATAAGGAGAAGTAGGTTCTAAGCTAGTTATCTTTTAAGAAGCTGAGCAACACAACTCTTGACATTCTTATAAAGATACTGGATAAATACAGCTGGCCATTGAGAGGAATTCTAAGACCGTGGGAGCTGTGTTACTATCACCATATATTTTAGGTCAGTGCCATTATCGAAAAACTGACTAATAACATTTAACGAGTATTGCAGTTAAGCACTCCTTACAGGTACCATTTATTTCAAAACCTTTTATAGTTTGCTCCAAAGTTAAAATAATTAGCTAAGCATTATTCTTCTCCTGGTCTAAAAACCATTATATCCTTTCTTTTCCTTTTCACTGTTATGGCCTTTTCACATTTCTAAATCCCAGCTTGATCTATGAATACTCTAGAATGATCTAAAGCAGATAGGAATGTATGTGTATATATTTATTGCACACTTGCACATCAAATCAATGTACATAGTATAATAACGTGGTCCTTGTGTGAAGCCTAGAACTCAGAGGACTGTTTGTTTTTCCTTTTTCTTTTGGCCTATTCTGAGTAACTGCAGTGCTTTCTTAGGGAAATGACAGGGCAAAGCTATTTTTTTGTTGGCTTTGGGCTGTATTTGTGCACTAAATCTTTATTCTAAAAAATAAATGGAAACTTTTCTTTAATTTTTTAAAATGAGAATTTTCATTTACACCTACATTAAAATCTTAATGAGAAAAATAATTTAAAACCCTGTAAGTGTTCTGTCTTTATTTTTTTATCAAACCATTTTATATATACACACACTTTATCCTATGTGACTTAAAATTTAGTTCACTTATCCTGTTGTATTAGGACTTGATTTTACTCTTCCTTCAACTTGACCCAGAACTGTATAAAGCACTTATTTAGAATTCTCAAGAGTTGGGAATCAGGATTAAAATTAAAAGGGATAGGGATCAGGAATGACTACAGAATAAACTGCATTAAGAACCACATCTTTGCCAAGTGATGTATTAAAAGAGAGGAGCTGAGAATGTATTATTTACCTCACAAGACTCAGGTGCTATAGATGAAGTCAGTAAAAACTCCCCATATAAAAATATGATTCTAGAAGTTGCTTCTGAAAGATGCCACTATGAGTAAAGATGAGTCTTGAATCGTGAGGTTGGCATCTTTTCATATTCTGCAGTTGGTCTAAGAATCTTAGAGTTCTTGGCTAAATTATCAGATCAATGAAATATTTCCAAATCATAAGGTCACAGAGCCACTTGAACAAAACTTACTTTGTTTAGCTCCATGAAGTATCTTTGGAGAATACTTTGTTGCATATATATAATTGAGGTATTTTAGGTTTAAAAATATCCATCCTAATAGACATTGAATTTTGAAACCTGAAATTAATACATACTTTGCTGTGCTTTGCAGGGCCCCATCCATTAGCATTTCGTCATGCTGCCTTTTTCTGGAGGCCAGGACCTCTCTTCTCTGCTAGAGGCTTATCATATAAAAAAGTGCATAATACAGTAGAAAGAGTGAAAATTATGTTGGATGTAAGTAAATTGCAAGAGTTTAATGACAAAGCAAACCTGAAGTACCAGTTTCTGATTGCTTGTTTTGCAGTTTTCAGTTCTGCAGTTTTGCACCATTTTCCTAGCTCTTGCATTTTTTTATAGGTATAGAAAAGGGCTGGCAACTGTAGAACAGGAGATAGGCCGTAGCAGTTTGCACTGAAGTATCTGGAATCTCACTGACTCGTGTGTCATCAAAGCTATACCAGGCCTGGGTCACTGAGTTCTTGCAGAAAGCAGTGTAGTGGCCACCGTCCAGATCACCAAAGTGGTTCTAGGGGAAGAATGAATGTCAGACTTAATATTCCCAAGCAGATAACTCTACTGGAACAAAAAAAGGTATAGCCAAGAAATATTTTTCACAATTGTCCCTTACACTAAATTAAAAGGAGAAGGTAATGTTGTTAAATGATAGATATGGCCTGACTGCTACAATATTTTTCATCCATTGAACTGCTTATACATTGGGCCTATCGACTAAAGAATCTATGAATGAAATAGTTTAGTATTTGGCAGCATCTAATATTTATGACTGAATACTGAGCATCTACTATACATAGACTATTAAACGTTAAAGGAGTTGGGGCACCTGGGTGGCTCAGTCGGTTAAGCATCCAACTTCAGCTCAGGTCATGATCTCACGGTTCGTGAGTTCAAGTCCCGCATCGGGCTCTGTGCTGACAGCTCAGAGCCTGGAGCCTGCTTCAGATTCGGTGTCTCCCTCTCTCTCTGCCCTTCCCCTGCTCACACTCTGTCTCTCTCAAAAATAAACATTAATTAAAATTTTTAAAAACATTGAAGATTTTAAAATAAGATAGTCCTCTTTCCTAAATGAGCCTACAGTTTAATTTTAAAGATAGGAAAAAGGACATTTAACATTGGGACAAGACAGTTAACTGCATATTGCTCCTACACAATTTGAGGGGTTATGCGACAACAACCCCCTCGGTCATGTAGCATCCAGAAAAGAACCTATTCCATTCTCTTTTCTCTGTCTTTTCTAACCCCGTAAAGGAATGTTTGAAACCGGCACTGGAGAACCTCACTTTGGTGTGGACTGTGAGGAAGAATGCATTTCATATTTTTGTATGGTTGAAAAAATATTTTGTGACCTGAACATTATATGCATCTCAAATTACAGCAAGTTTCATGGGAACACAGCTATGCTCATTCGTTTTATATCTTTTAGTAGCTGCCTTCACACAACAATAGTAAAGCTGAATAGTTGCAGTAGAAACTGCTGGCCAACAAAGCCTAAAATATTTACTGTCTGGCCTTTTACAGAATAAGTTTGCTGACCCCTGGTATAGAGGGCAGAAGATGGTCAATTATAGTCATTTAGTAGTCAGTATAGAATTGATAGTGAGTTCAGCTCTAATACTACACAATGGCTTTAAGGTGTATTTAACCTTCCTGAGCTTTAATTTCCCCATCTATTAAAATGGGGTAATAAAATATGTCTTGTCTTACATAGCAGTTATCAGATGTCTTTGAAATTACGGAAGTAGCACATAGGAGATACTTACTAAATATTCCCTTAGACCTTCATCTTCCCTACCTCTCACTTTACATGTTACAGAAATATCCCAAAGTTGACATTTAAAAGATCCAAGCTCTAGTTCTGGTCCTTGCCCTGTGACCTTATTTGGGGGGCTATTTTGAGAATTGAGGGGTGCTTGGCAAAAGGAAAGAACTGTATTCTGTTTCTGGATAGATGTGCTTTCATTCAGGCTGTACAGGACACCCACATATAGAATGTTCTTGAACATTCTAAAAAATGACCATGAACATAATACACAGTGCTATAAGCTTAAGATGTTATATATGAACCTCATGGTAACCAGAAGCTCATAACATTGAACAGATGCACAAAAATTAAAGAGAAAACCAAACCTAACACTACAGAAATCATCAAGCACAATAAAAGAAAGCAAGAGAATAAAGGATCAGAGAAAGACCACAAAAACAACCAGAAAACAAAATGGCAATAAGTTTACTTACCAGTAATTAAATGTAAATGGCCTAAATCCTCCAATCAAAAGACATAGGGTGGTGGAATTGATTTAAAAAAGCACACACATAAACCGTCTATATGTTGCTGGCTATAAGACACTCAACCTCACACCTAAAGATGCATACAGATTGAAAGTGAAAAAACAGCATGCAAATGGATGTGGAAAAAAAAAAACAAACCATGCTTCTATCAGAAAAAATAAACTTGTTTTTAATTTTTTTCAATGTTTGTTTTTGAGAGAGAGCAGGGGAGAGGCAGAGAGAGAACGAGACACAGAATCTGAAGCAGGCTCCAGGCTCTGAGTTGTCAGCACAAAGCCTGAAGCAGGCTTTAACCCATGAACTATGAGATCATGACCTGAGCCAAAGTTGGACACTTAACCACCCAACTGAGCCACCCAGGTGCCCGAGATAAAATAAATTTTAAAACAAAAACTGTAAGAAGAGACAAAGAAGGGCATTACATAACAGTGAAGGAATCAATCCAACAAGAGGAGCTAAAAATTGTAAATATCCATGCATCCAACATTGGATTACCTAAATATATAAAGCAAATATTAACAGATGTAAAGCGATAAATTGGTAATATAGTAATACTAGGGAACTTGAAAACCCCAGTTACATCAGGGCCCCTGGGTGACTCAGTCACTTGAGCATCCAACTCTTGATTTCAGCTCAGGTCATGATCCCAGGGTCATGGGATCAAGCACCACGTTGGACTTTTGGCTGAGTGTGGAACCTGCTTAAGATTCTCTTTCTCTCTCTCTCTCTCCCCCTCTGCCCGCCCCCCCCCGCCCCCCGCCACACACTCTCTGATAAAAAATTAAAAATATCTTAAAAAAAACAACAGCCACTTACATCAATGGATAGATCATCCAGGAAGAAAAATCAATAAGGAAACTGTCTTTGAGTGAATCATTAGACCAGGTGACATAAAAGATCTACACAAACATTCCATACAAAAACAAGAGAACAGACATTCTTTTCAAGTACATCTGGAACATTCTCCATAATAGAACATATGTTAGGCTCCAAAGTAGTGGTAAATTTAAGAAGATTGAAACCGGGGCGCCTGAGTGGCACAGTCGGTTAAGCGTCCGACTTCAGCCAGGTCACGATCACGCGGTCCGTGAGTTCGAGCCCCGCCTCAGGCTCTGGGCTGATGGCTCGGAGCCTGGAGCCTGTTTCCGATTCTGTGTCTCCCTCTCTCTCTGCCCCTCCCCCGTTCATGCTCTGTCTCTCTCTGTCCAAAAAATAAATAAACATTGAAAAAAAAATAAAAAAAAAAGAAGATTGAAACCATATCATGCATCTTTTCTGACCACAACAGTATGAAAATAGAAATCAATCACAAGAAAAAAACACAATCATGTGGAGGCTAAAAAACATGATACTAACAACCGAAAGGTCAATGAAGTAATCAAAAAAGTTATAAAAATACATGAAAACAAAGGAAAATGAAAATACAATGATCCAAAACCTTTGGGATGCAGCAAAAAGCAGTTCTAAAAGGGCAATTTATAACAATACAGGCCTACCTCAAGAAACAATCTCAAACAACCTAACATTACACCTAAAGGAACTAGAAAAACAAAACAAATAAAGCCCAAGGTTAGGAGATGGGAGAAAGTAATAAAGATAAGAACAGAAATAAAAGTATAGAGACAAAAAAATAGAAAAAAATTAATGAAAAGAGCTGGTTCCTTGAAAAGATAATATTGATGAACCCTTAGCCAGACTCATCAAGAAAACAAGAGAAAGACCCAAATAAGTAAAAAAAGAAAGAGAAGTAACAACTAACAGCACAGAAATACAAAGGGTTATAAAGAAAACATTGTGAAAAAGTATGTGCCAACAAATTGGAAAACCCAGAAGAAATGGATAAATTCCTAGAAACATACAATCTTCCAAAATTCAATCAGAAGGAAATAGAAAACCTGAAGAGACCAATGACTAATAACAAAAATGAATTGGTTTTCAAAAAACTACCAAAAAAATTAAAGTCCAGGACCAGATGGCTTCACAGGTGAACTATACCATTTAAAGAAGACTTTATGGGGCGCCTGGGTGGCGCAGTCGGTTAAGCATCCGACTTCAGCCAGGTCACGATCTCACGGTCCGTGAGTTCGAGCCCCGCGTCGGGCTCTGGGCTGATGGCTCGGAGCCTGAAGCCTGTTTCCGATTCTGTGTCTCCCTCTCTCTCTGCCCCTCCCCCGTTCATGCTCTCTCTCTGTACCAAAAATAAATAACGTTGAAAAAAATAAATAAATAAAGAATACTTTATACCTATTCTCTTCAAACCATTCCAAAAAATAGAAGAATAAGGAAAGCTTCCAAGTTTATTCTATGAAGCCAGCATCACCCTGACACCAAAACCAAAGACACCACAAAAAAAAAAAAAAAAAAAAAAAAACTACAGGCAAATATCCCTGATGTACATAGATACAAAAAATCCTCCACAAAATATTAACAAATTGCATTCATCTAGATGATAAAGGATCATTCACCATGCTCACTTCAACAGCACATCTACTAACATGGGAATGATACAGAGATTATCATGGCCCCTGCACAAGAATCACATTCAAATTTGTGACATGTTGCATATTAAAAAAAAAAAATCATTCACCACAATCAATTGGAATTTATTCTGGGGCTGCAAGGATGGTTCAATATTCACAAATCAATAAACATGATACACTATATCAATAAAACATAAAAATCATATGATAATATCATCATCTGCATCTCAATAGATGCAGAAAAAGCATTTGACAAAGTACAACATCCATTCACTTAAAAAACTCTCAAAAGGGGGCGCCTGGGTGGCGCAGTCGGTTAAGCGTCCGGCTTCAGCCAGGTCACGATCTCGCGGTCCGTGAGTTCGAGCCCCGCGTCGAGCTCTGGGCTGATGGCTCGGAGCCTGGAGCCTGTTTCCGATTCTGTGTCTCCCTCTCTCTCTGCCCCTCCCCCGTTCATGCTCTGTCTCTCTCTGTCCCAAAAATAAATAAAAACGTTGAAAAAAAAATTAAAAAAAAAAAAAAACTCTCAAAAGTGGCACCTGGGTTGGCTCAGTTAAGTGCCTGACGCTTGATTTCAGCTCAGTTCATACCTTATAGTTTGTGGGATTGAGCCCCATGTCAGGCTCTGTGCTGCAGCCTGCTTGGGATTCTCGCACTTCTCTCTCTGCCCCTGCTCCTGCTCATGCATGCTCTCTCTCCCTGTTTCTCTCAAAATAAGTAAACATTAAAAAAAACAAAA